TTGATTGATACTATAGTGCATATATTCACCCAAAATATGCCCCTCCTGATGGAAAAAGACATGGACTGCCATTTATATAGTGTTTTTCCAAAATCCTTCTTGCTTTGAGACAACAGTGCTAACCACTGGACTTCCACAAAAGAAAAATCTATAGACAAAACAACGATCCTTAATAACCATCAACACACTGTTTGCAGTTACAGATATACTCTGTCTACCTATTTCAATTATGCATCGCTCTAGTAATTATTAAGTATCAATTGCTTGGAAACTGTTAACAAAGTTGCCAGTTTAAGTGTAGCTCTAAAACACTACTTGCTGTAAACTCAAGACAGGAGAACACCTGTACGAGTGCAGCAGGCTTTCACGTGCCAAGTGTGTTTTTGATGGGAATACTTGTGTGTTTGTTTCTCAGAGTGTATGTTTATCCATGGTAAGTGTGGGGGATCTGCAAGGTGTGTCGCTCTTAGGTGGAATGTCTGCTTGTAATATGCGTCTGAATGAAACTATCTGTGTGCGTCAGGAATGCAAGGTGCGTGCATGTGTGTGTGTGTGCATGCGCGTCTGTAATGAGGGGGTTTGGAACGAGCTGTGATTATTCTCGCCTCCTGCGGTGTAGGTTCTCTGGCTCTGTGGGCCCCAGAAAAAGCGCTCTGTATTTAGTGTGTGGGAACGCACATTCTGCCCCCTTATCGCTGTATTGTTGCAGCTTCGATCTTTTCTTCTCTTTTTTTAACTAATTGAATTCTTGACTCCTGAGCCACAGGAACGGCTCAGAAGAGACCAAAGAGAAAGACTTGAATTTCGAGCTTTTTCTTGTAGTTGAGTAAGGCAGAGCAGTGGGAGTGAAATTGGAGTGTCTGAGGTTGGGTGGCAGTGGTGGGCAGTAGTTAGAGAGGGCCAGTTCAGGATGGCTAGGTGGCTGCTGTGGCTTAACCCTGTACTTACTGGAGGTCAAAGGTCCTCCTTCCCTGGTGGTGGTGAGAAGTGTTGAAGAGATGGTTTACCCAACAATCATGTTCCTCTTTTTGAAACGTTCAAAGGCGCTTTTGGTCTCTGCAACATCTTTGTAGTTGTGCTTGAGGAATCCTACACAAAACAACTCAAACCCCCCCACCCGCCTGTTCTCACTTCTCTTCAGGGTAGCTGCTTTCTTCATTAGGTTCTGCCAACCCCCTCTTCTCTACATTAGTGATCAGTGTGGCATACCCTCCATGCCAAACCCCACCACATGGCCGTAAAGATTTAGTGTAAAGACATTTCTGGCTCTCTGCTTCTTGGTGGGAATTTTAAAGTTACTCTTTTTTTCTTTATATAGACATAGCAAGACTGCACACGCACACAAATGTGTAAGTGTCAGGGCCAATGAGCACTTAGAGATCATCCAAATAATTCATTATTTTACAAGTATCTCTGTCTGATCTATGAAGGGTTAGGGGTAATTTATACAACCAAAATAACCCGTTCTTGGTGCCAAATACTGATGACAACCTTTAGATGTTTTGTAGGATCCATGCCTGTACTGGAGCAGGAGTGAAAGCGTGTCATGCAGGAGTGGTCATAATGCTTGTTAAAACTACTTTAAATTTAAAAAATGTTTTATAATAACAAACAATTCTGATCCAAAACTGTAAAATGAAACATTTTCAGTTTATTAACTTATGCTGTGCTGAAATTAATTTAAATACATTTAACTGACTGTGTGAAGTGACTTCAATGAAACATTAGTAGAAATAAGTGTATTCACATTAATCACAGCTGTGCACCTAAACAGGAAGAACTGCATTAACACCAGTGTTTACCTGCTATTTCAGCTCAAGTTCAGCTCAGGTTCTGTTGACTGTAATTCATTTAAAGTCATTAATCAGAATTTTGATCATTACAAAGAGGTAACATGGATTCTTTATATATCTATTTTTAAGTGCAGGGCTAATAAAAATGTAAACAAAAACAAAACATGTCATATTAATCAGCATCACTTTGGTTGAGACCAGTTACTGCAGGAAATACCTGGTCATCTATTCACCTACTAACTAACTGAAATGCCACTGCCTAGCCCCATACACACATACAGCAGTGAGAGAGAGCTACAATAGAAGTTGTTTATCAGTGCGTATCAGAATGGGAGAGTGACTCTGAGAACAGAATGGTTGATGGTCCCAGACGAGCATTTCAGAAACTGCACATATACTGAGATTTGGCTACATAACCATTTCTGGATTTAAAAATGGTAGAAAATAAATAAATTAAAATACATATACAGGCTAAATGATGATCTTCTAAATTTGTGAAAGATCATTTCCTCTCCAGCTTACGAGTTATCTGCTTTAAGGTGCACGTTTGAGAGTTATACCAGGCAGTCAAGTACTTCTGACGAAGCAGGAAAATTATTAACAAGATAATCGACCTCTGTTGGGGTAGCGTTCAGATAGCTGCTCTGCTCTATGTTGGTACAGGGCATTGAAGATGATAACAGTGGGTGGATTATATTCTTAAACTTAGTTACAGCGCTTTCAGAAAGACATCTACTCGGATAAAGTCTACTCTCCACTGCTGTGTAATCAATTATTGTAAATGTAAATGTTATCAGGAAATGATCAGACAGGAGAGGGTTTTCAGGAAACACTGTTAAATGTTCAGTTTCTATGTCATATGTTAAAACAAGATCTAGAGTGTGATTAAAGTGGTGGGTGGGTTCTTTTACATGTTGAGAGAAACCAATTGAGTCTAATAACAGATTAAATGCCATGTTGAGGCTGTCATTCTTAGCATCTACATGGATGTGGAGATCACCCGCTTCAGGACATGAAGTAATCCAGTGACAGCTGTATTTGCGTAGAGAAGTGAATCTTTCCATCACACACGATACGGCGTCACTGATTTCAAAGCAAGCAATAAGATTAGGATCCAGTTTGGCATTCAGTATGTTGCCTAAGAACATGCCAAATCCTAGCCATGTAGAAATGTTGGCCAATCAGAAGTCTAGAAGCCTGGGAGGAAAAAAGTACTTCTGAAAAGTTTGTGTGTTTTTCTGGGAAGGCGGATCATTTTGTGTTACTTTTCAAGTGCCTTCATCATTTCAAATGTTAATTACCAAAAACAGTATTTTGGTTGGTGTCGACAACAAAATGCATACAGCACACATACATTTACTTTAAAAGAATAAATGTATTCAAAACCGATGACGACGTTGGTGTCGGGACTGTGAGAGCGTCTGTGTTGAATGTAGAAGCCATGTCCACAGTTCTGACAGCTGTAGACCGTTTTTTGGACTACAAGCCACATTTATTGATACATTATTATTCTATACACTTTAAGCACCTCATCAATTACTTACTTTACTATGGAAGGAAGCTTGAAAACCTGCATGAATAGGTACTGGGAGATAATGGAGACTACACGACATAGCTGACCAGTACACCATCATGCTGCCCACCCTGGGAGACACTTTCCTGATGAGTTCATGGTTTCAGTGATCATTTTCATAGTCTTTTATTAACTATGGCCTCAGCTACAGTCAAATAAATGGGAAATGTTCTTGAGAAATAGTCTACTCTGAAGGTCTGTCTCACTTTTCCTTTCACTGCTTTTTCACACATTCTCAGTTCGGTTCTTGCATCGGAGCATTTCCAGAGAGAAACGGTCAGAGGACATTTTTTCTTCTGTAAGCTGTAATTGAATTATTCCATATATGAACCAGTGCTGTGTCTACAACTAAGAACCTATTTTAAACTGTGTTTGTACACAGATGTTAATAGCAAAACAACATTTGGTTTCTTTAGCTGAATCTATGAAAAACAGATAATTCAGTTTAAGGGGCACAAAAGTGCATTTCTGCACCGACCACAGACATGACAAATTCTGGGCATTTCCTGACGTGGTTTACAGCGTGTCTTTAAAAACATTGAGGAAACTTAAAACTTTGAGGACAAAGAACAAGTGGCACGCCTTATAAACCATGTCCGGCAGATGAACGGACAATCACCTGCCTCTCAGACCAGCAGGTGATGAAGTGGATACTGTTACAAACGTCTGCATCTGTCTGTGCAGTCAGCAGAGCTGTGAGTGTGTGTAAGTCTGTGTTATTAGGTTTCTGAGCCAAAACATGGTTGAGAAATCAAAGGCACTTCTAAAGCGCCGCCACAAAGAATCTGCTTCTGCTGTTTCACACAGTCTGTGACCAGCCAACGTCTGAAAATCAGCAGAAATCTGCCAGCTGCTTTATTACAAACTAGGTTTAAATGAAATATACCTAAAAATGATGCAAATGTAGGCATGACAGAAATGAGTTTGCATTAAATGTAACAAAAGAAGAAACAAGCCGGGCCACAGTGTTAATGCTGCTGTTAACATCCATATTTGTTCACGCTTATCCTTTTTTATTGGTATTTATTTTACTTTATTAGCTTTTATTTAACACATTTAACCTTTTTTCGTGGAATCCTTTTTGTATCGCCCAGATTTCCTACAACAAAATTAAGATGAGCTGCAGTCAAAGGTTTTTAGTCTGGTGATTCCTGTTATTCGCTGTGTAGCACCGTGCTACTGAGCCACTGCACACGGCTGGAATGAAACTAAAACCACTGAACCGTGATGATGTTCCTGCGCCACATGTAGGTATAACATGGCACTGACACCTGCATGACTCATGGTTCCTCACTGTTTACTTATCATTCGTTTCTTTCTTTCATGTCTTTCTTTTAGCACCACTGTGGGTCAGTGTTCCAGTTATGTGCTCTTGTAAAAATTATGACTGAACAATGGCAACAAAGAGTTAAAGTTAGTTGCCAATGCTGCATTCACACATTCAACTTATTAACGTCACTTTTATGCATAAACGATGCAGGAAAGCTGCTCCTCTTTAACAAGGGCTGAAAAACTGGGTTCTTAGAGCTGCAACAGCCCCCAGGTCCTGGTGAGGTGCCAGCACGTCCAGCAGCTACTAAAAAAGTGCTTTAAATAACGATAAGAGAAAACACGAGTGAGTGGCTGACTCTTACCTCAGTGTGGGATTAATAGCCACGGACCACACTCTGTCACACATGGGAATTGTATCTCTGGGAGCGGTGCAAGTCAAACTCCAAATCTAAAGAAAAAAACCTTATTAGATCATCTATGTATTACATGACATTATTATTGTAATACCAATAACTGAACACATGATGATTTAGATATAGAGTGAAATGTAGCATTTGTTTAGTTAAAATATGAGTAAATGTTTCGTTAACTTCAGTCTTATAAACATGGAGCGGACAGCCTCTGTGTACAGGTCAGGATGCTCTGTGGTTCATGTGAGCAGTGGGGGCGGGGACACAGCAAGGACAGGACGGATATCAGAAAAGTCAGAGAATTAACTTTTGTCTACCTTCATGTGTTCGGTACACAAACAGTGTTACTTTATAATGGGACATAAATCTTCTGTAATGCTTATCAATGATTATTTTACTAGATCCACAATTTCATGAGCTGTGCACCACAATCATCCAGATTAAAACAAAGATTACAAGTATTTCATTTTGAATATACAGCATATGAAAGCTTTCCTGTTGAATTCAACTATGTTAAAAAGCTTTTTTGCAGATTTCCATCCAGCTGTATCCACTGTGTTTGAACATGCTTGCCAGTGATTTCACTGTTACGTGTAAAAACTACAGTTATGTCCTTAAATATTTGGACAACTTTTCCTCATTTCGTCCTGTACATCATCACAATGAATTTTAAATAAAACCTCAGATGTAGCTGAAGTGCAGAGTTTCAGCTTTGACTCAGTGGGTTGAACAAAAAGATTACATAAAAATGTGAGGAACTAAAGCATGTTTAACACCGTCCCTTCATGTCAGCAGCTCATAAATAATTGGACAAATTAAATACGTGAAGATGAAATGTTCGTCTCTAATACTCGGTATAAATCCCTTTGCTGGACTGACAGCGTGAAGTCACCAGGTGCTGGTTTGCTCCTGTTTAATGCTCTGCCAGGTCTTTACTGCAGCTGCTGTCCATTATACAACTATATATAACCAAATATGTTTCAGTAAACAGATAAAAGACTTGTGTCAGTGTCCAAATATGTATGGAGCTAACTGTAAACAGCTCGGTGTATGATTGGGCAGGTTCCTGAGTTTCAGGAAGTTGTGCAAAGAGCTCCGCCGTTTAAGAAACTGCAAAGAAGCAGCTATTTATCTAAGCTATATAACGTCAGGAAAGCATCACAACTTGATGCTTAAAAATAAAAACAGACTTGGTGCTTTTCAGCTGGCCTAAGGCCGTCTGCCAGTCTGTCCATCGTCCATTTCTATTCCTCTGATGCAGCTCAGGAGCTGTGAAGACGTGAGGCACATCCTGGACATGCTGCCAGTCTACTGCAGGGCTAATACAAATAACAACCATTCAATCTCACATCTGCACTGCACTAGTTAACCTAACAAGCCAATGCAGGCACAGGGAGAACATGCAAGCTGCACACAGAAAGGCCTCAGACTGGATCAGAACCCACGACTGCTGCTGTGCCACCCCCGGTGATTTGGCTGAATAGTGAAGAGACTGTTTGACTTGCGATTGGCTCACAGTTCAAAAGTGATTTGCAAATCATTGATATGACATTTTACACAGCATCTTAGAAGTAGGACTGTAAACGCTCTGCTACTGTGCATCACATAATGAACCCGAAGCGTAGAGTCGTTCTGACCCGGGCTGTCCGGTCTCTGGAGCCGCTGATGATGAGTCCGTCTTTAGCATCCACACAGTTGACCTCCTGGTTATGACCTGAGAACTCCACTGGCACATCACTTCTCCTGCTGTGGACGACGATCTTCCCGTCACTGACACCGATAAAGAAGAGCATTAGACTTTCTTTACATTTCAGCCGTCCAAAGTAAATCAGAAGCTCTGAAGTTGTTTGATCGGCTGGAACCCACAAATCACAAGTCTTGACCTCTCTTATGCTGACAGGAGCACAGTAAATGTCTTTACATCAGTGTAAACCAGCGCTTCGTTCAACCAGCCAGATGTATGGAAGCGTGACAGTAAGTCTGAGCCACGGTCTCAAGCTCTCTTTGCTCACTCATCACATCACATTTCACATGTATTCAAATTTAGCAACTGTAAAACCTTTTGAATCCGAGCTGGATGTACTCGTGTTTTTGGGTCTAGATTATTGCCCATAAAGGAGTTGCAGAGTGCGTTTTGAATGTGGACCCTTCTGAGACACTGTTTAAAGCTTATATAGACCCCGTGTAAGGAAATCAGGATCAAATACGCCAAAATAAGGCTAAGCATTAAGGCTGTATCGGATGCTGAGCTGTGCAGACGTGTCAATCTCTACAGACCTCCAAACTTCACGTTTCCTTCAGATTAGCTCAAGAACAAACAACAGTTTTCCTTCAGCTACCTTCCACCGCTGATCAGGAGCGAATCTGTGAGAACGAAGCGACAGACGTCACCCTTGTGGCCCGAGTAGACTTCAAACAGACTACGCTGGAGTCTCCCCGAGTCTTTGTGGATATGGTACACCTTTATGTCAGCAGCCTGAGACAGAAAAAGAGTGTCCCCGTCCAGCTGTAACCATGGTAACAGTCTGACAATGAGATACAAATAAAATGTGAGTGATTTCAACGTCACACCTGAACGTCTTTAAAGTATGCAGATAATGAGGTAAGCTGGCTCTTTATCAGGCAGAGATATGATGAACAGTTCTTCTGTGAAACCGATCACAAGTTTAATCTTTGACGGCGCTGAAATCCAAACTCTCGTTGTACATCTGGACATGTGTGCATGATGTGAACTGAAATAAGGTGCAACAGGGGACTTACTTAGTTTTCCATCTCAGAGGAATTCTTCTTCTGCAGATCCCGCTGTACCAGTTTTGAGCAATCTTCACTCTGTCCTTCAGGCGTATGAGAGGATATCTGCAGGGACAGCAGCAACCGAGATGACTACACTTTGATCTGTGTGGGTTTGAATGCTGGTGGCATTATCCATGAAAACAATGCACATCTGACCCTTTCATCAATCTATACATTTTCAGATGACACGTGAACATTTTTATGAAATAAAATGTTTTGTCACAGAAAAACTGAGACGTGCAAACTGTTGTTCAGAACTTCTCAAACATCTGTCAAAGACTATGGTTACAATTTCAATTCAGTTTTATTTATATAGCATCAAATCACAGCAACAGTCACCTAAAGGCTCTTAATATTAAAATAAAGACGCTACAATAATACTGCATCAATAATCTTAGGAGCTGTTTACTGAACTTACATATAACCCCACAATACATTTGAATCAGCTTGTTGAGAGGGTCACCTGACCCTACGGCTTCAGCGAGGAATTCGATTATAAACGCACTGTAGCACGCCGCTGTGTCAAACGATGTCAACACCAGTGTTTCACCCACATGTGCCACTAAAAACAGACCTGCAACAGAATGAATACAAAGTCTGACAGCCCACTGACGACACCACAGCAGCAGTGATGATGACCCTGGCACAGAGTCTGCTGACACACCGTGAAGAGGCGGAGCCGTTACCGGCACGCTGAGCTCAGCGAGCGTGAAAGAAACACCAGCGCTCTTCCTGTAACCACCACAAAACCTTTACTGGGACAACGTTAGCAGGAGTCCATCAAAGCACCTGATCAACAAGCTGTGACGGGTGCAGCAGCTCCACCCTCAGCCTGCACATGTTCCATTATACTATGCAGACAAACTGTTGACTTGGTCTGATTGTTGTTGATGCATGTTTACATCCAGCTTAATGAAGGCTGACGCCAGCAGGACATGATACCTGCAAACGTGGGTGAGTCTAAAGGGACGTGGGGGGACCAGACCACATTATTTCAATTCTTTTGTAACATTTCTCAGATTAAAAGTGATATAAAATATTGCATTAATTAAAATGCATTCATAATTAAAAACACAAAAACGTACGTGGGCCATTAAACCCTGAGCCGCTGAGCTGAGGGGTGTCAGCTTGGACCCTGAATTGTTATTATTATTAAATAATGTCTACACCATGATAAAGGTTCTGCGTCCAGCAGCACAAACATCTGCCTCGTATTAACGAGAGAGCCTGCCAAGAATACAGAGGGAAGACTTTTTGACTGTACTGGAGATGATTCATGTTTTCTTTTAAAAATGTAGTTTTAATATGGCACTTACAGTCAAAGGGTTTCGTCTAGTATGCAGTTACATTTAAAAGCACCGACATTTCTACAATTGAAAGCAGTGAGCATTCACTTTAAAAGACCTGATTTTTCTCTTTTGAATATTTCTTATTGCTCATGAATAAAACTAAAGTATTTCGATTCGTTGATAGATTACAAATAGAGAGCTGCAGCCTTAGTTTACACAAATGATGTTTTCTTTCAGCTTCCTACTGCAACTCTGTCTCTATGCAAACGGTTTTGGTGATATTTTACTGCAAAGAAAATTCAGCACGGTCAGGTCTAGTTAATGTTAGCCTGAACAATTGGAGATCACTATGACGACAGTGGTTTTCATCTTAGTTGTTCATGCAGGCTGTCCTCTTTAAGAACTGTGCTTGCTCACATACAGGTGAGGGAAGAAAGTGCATCTAAAGTTCAAAAACAATGAAAGGAAGACGTCAGATCTCAATGGGAACTCAAATCATCCTGCATATGGGCTGGACAGTGTGTTAGGACTGAAAGGATGCAGCATCATTAGTTAGAAATGAAAATCATACGGGGCTGAATAGACCTGCAAAAACAAAGTGAAAAAACGATGAAGCCAGTCCAAATTTCATTGCAGCAACTCAAACTGTGCTCTGTGCTCCCGCGTGCATCTAACGAGGCAACAAACGGTGTCCTGAGTGATCTTCTCCCAGATCTGGACCAGGGCATCATTACGATCCTGAACAGTGTGAGGGGCAACGTTGCAGCAGTGGATAGACCGACACGTAATGTCAGAGGCGCTCTATTGAAGTGAGGCAAGTGTAGGAAGCAATCAACAGACTGATCCAGGAACTGCCCGGTGAACCCAGGACCCAGTGTGCATCAATGGGTCCACACTGACAGACTTCTTTGGGTCGTTCTCTATAAAAGCTAGCATCTTTTGAAAAACGCAGAGCAGCTCTCTGTCACCAAACATTTACGTTTAACTCTCTTCTCCGTTATGATACTTGACCTTGTCATATAATTGGCTAATTCGATATTTGCATAAATGGCTGGTATATGCATTTTACTGCTCAGCGTACTCTCAGTGATGCACTTTATTTTGAAAAGCCAGACAATCAGAGGTCTGAACCTGCAGTTTTCTAACTGACTGGAATGATCTAAAACCTGAACACGATAAGGGTGAAAAACACACAAAATAACTGACAGACAAGGACAACACCACGAGTCCTACTCTGGTTCCTGACTTTACAGTGCTCGCACCTTAAACTAAATACTAGGATCAGGACCTGAGGTCAGGCGTGGACCCTTTGGTTCAAACACTGCACTGCTGACTGAGAAGCAGTATCAGGGCAGCTGTCTCGGTGTTCGTGGTCACAGATGTGGAACACTTACTCCCTCATAGCAACACGTGTACGTTTAAGCCAAAGCAGGTGATGCTGCAGCCTGAATTTCACGTCGCATTTTATGAAAAGCTACTTAGTCGCGTTTATCGCTGTCATTCAGTTAAAAGTGCTGAAAGTGATTTAAAGTGCATCACTTTTATTTAAAGTAAAAGGAAGTCTGTTCACTGGTTTCTGTAAAATGATGCACTGGGACCACAGCGTTACACACAACATGCCACGGCCACAGGTGTGGAGTCAGCTGCTGTCAGCGTGAGACGGTGCGGCAGCAGCACGGGCCAATGGACGCTGCATGTTAGGCTAACGCTAAGCTAGCAGCTTGCTCAGAAGTGTGCGGCTGTTTTCTTACATGTCCTTCCCCTCCCGAGTAATGCCCGTGTTTAAAAGAGCTTTAGCAATCTTCTTCCAAACAGCGTCCCGGTTTACAAAGCGGTAAAAGCTTCTACAAACTTGAGAGAGGCGACTGAGGGATCTGTAGTCCAAATAAGATAAGATGTAATAGAGAAGATCCTCTGGCAGCTGAGACAGCAGCATGGCGAGCCCTCGGGCACCGCTGCGCCGCTCTCGAAGCCTCTATGTCCGGTTCTGCGTGTTTACTTTGTGTATTACGCACAGCGGTAAAGTTTCATCGCTCACAGAGCAGGGACAGAGATGAGACAGGAAGCCATTCTTGCAGTGAACCACCGCCTGATGACGACACGCAACGTGACTGTACGTCATGACGTCACGTGTTGCTTCCCCGTTTTAGGCTCGACACGTTGTTGGCCTCCACTGCAAAAGTCAGATTTCTAATGACATCACGTTGTTCTTGAAAGAGAAAAAAAGAGGTTAAAAAGCAGCAAAACAGCGCATGCGTGTGTGCACAGACAGTGTTTATTTGGGAGTTCAATGAAGGGCTTCAGTTAAAAGAAAATTACATTCGAGTGTTGTTCTACAATATTTGAAGTAAAAAACAAACAAACAAAATGACATTTTCGGAAATATGTATATTTTTATAAAAAATGTTTAAGTTTGAGACCCCTGCTCCTTTAGCTCCTCTGCATTAACCTTGGTTTGTCCTTGTCTGAGTCACCTACCAGCCCGCCCTCCTCGACTCTGTTCTCTGTTGGACTCAGTAAATGAACCTGCTGGATACATTTCCTGCTCAAACACCTGCTCAAAAACTCTCTCGGCAACCTCCTCCTAGGAGTAACTCACTACAGCTCGCGAGTAAGCCACGTTTTTGCCCAGCCTTTCATACTTTTCACTGCATCAATGGAATATTTCCCCCAGTTAACTCTGTGTCAATCACAGAGCTAGGAGAAAACGATACACACTAATAACCAAATTAAGAATAGCTAATTGGGGACGGGAATCGAGAACTGGTAGCCAGTGGTTCAATTTCTAGGAATTTTTAGTCTGTTTGCTTATTGGTTCCACAGTCAGCTGGTTTCAGTTTGTGTATTGGAGAATAGTGGTGCAGGCTCCAGCACTGAAACTGTGCTCAGAGTTGGATCACATCCCACATCGCTTAAGAAAAAATATTTAATATTAATATTATGAATAATATTAACAAGATACTTCAAGTCTGTGTGTGGCTTATTGACAGACAGCTGTTCCCCATTAAACTGAATGGATTTGATCTGTGAATGTGCACATTGTGCCACTGTCTAAATACTTACAGAGCTGAATAAGTTTACTTTGAGTTTTTGCAACTTCTAACTACGTGTTCTTGTTTTATGTATATGCACACAGTGTTTCATCAGAGAAACTTATTTGCATAGTTTCAAGTTTATAATTGTTCTAATTCTAGTTGCTAAAATGTTTAATTTTGCCTTAATTGATGTTTTTAATAAATGACTTGTTATATTGTTCATTCCAGCTTCCTGATTACTGCCTACTTGTTTTTGCTAAAAACCTAAATTAAAAACAAGCAAATGTGTTACTTTTCCTTTTCAGGATCAGCTTTTGTCCAGAAAATTTCTTGCTAAAACCAACAGTTCATTTATTTCAAACAAATCATCTTTATCTTCTAACAAATATTTACAAATTTACAATTTCAATAAATTTACAATTTGCAAAAAAAATTCCATTTCCATATAGCTACAGTTGTCAAACTATACAACTATACATCCTGGCAGGAGGTCAGTTATTCTGTCTGCAAGTCCTCTGGTTCACATGTATCAGTGGAAGTAAACTCCACGTTACCCACTGATGCGCTCGCTGCTGTACGGGTGCTACATGGTAAAAAGTTTCATGTTTAAAATACAACACCTTAAGAATGGGGTGAATGATGCTTGTGTAAATGTGTTTTGAGAACTCGTTTTTTATCATAACAGCAGACATGTGTGAGCTTCAGTCATCTTCACTGTTCATCTGCAGTTACATTAAAACACTCCTCTGTGGGAGAGTTTTGGATGGAAGCTTTAGAAACTTTGTAGTTACTTTTTTATTTCACTATGTTCAGTTTCTCACGCAGGTGAATTCAGGTCCATAAATGAGAGGCCGATACTTCTAAAGTATATGATACATAACTTCAGAGCAACACAAGGTTTGGTTTGAATGTCTTTACTGCTGTTCTCTCCTGGCCTGCAGACCCTGGGACAGTTTCGCCACTAAAACTGTCTAGGCTGTGTTATGGTCACATGACTACCAAAGCTTCATTGACCTTAGCTGTTTAGCATCAGTAGCATCAGTTTGTGCTCATTCACATTATTTTACAAGTTGCTCTTTGATCAGCTGAACTGTTTGTAATTAAAACATGCATCATAAAAATGTGTGTTCAAAGCTTTGCACTCTAAAGGATGAACCAAACACTACGCTGCCAAAAGATCATTCACGGCTGGCTTTCCAGCTGAACTATCATGGCTAAAAAAGAGAAGAGGTTGGGAGGAGGGATACATGGAGTGGAAAGGATGTATGGGGTTTGCAGTGGGGGTGTTTGAAGGGTGAGGGGGAGTCCTTTTCTTTTGATCTTTGATAGCAAAAGGGCGGAAAAGAGCGAGGGAGCTTTGCCAAAGCTGGCAAACACATTTAGCTGGTAATTGTTCAGATTATACTGACAATCTGTGTTAGAAATGCACAGACAAACAAAGGTTTACAGCTCCAGTTGGAAAAGTCAACAGGTCCTGTGTAAAGCCTGTACATAAGCAATAAAACTGCTGAGCTAGAGCGTTACTGTGATCAGCTGAGTGCGTTTCAGTTATCCACACTGGTCTAACTAACTTTTAGCAATTTAAAGCCATTTAAAGCCTGCCATTTCTGAAGGAAATCCACCTTATTGCGTTTGTGCTCATTGCATAATACATATACATTACAGTATGAAACTAATCAGACTTCTTGAGTTGTCTGTAGTCACCTAATTACAGGAAATCAACATCTCACAGATGCATTTTTCAAATGAACTCATTTTTAAATTTGGACCATTACACGTTGTAATGTTGTAAAACAGTTTACTCAGCAAATAGAGAGAAATCTCAGGAAACTGAGAGTGGCCTTTGGGACCGACAGTGTATCCTTGTTGAAAATAGGCTGACATGTTTAGGAAGTCTCCAGGGTGTCACTAACAGAGTCCTGAGAACTTTTTCAACATATCTGTTTTTTATTTTTCAAATCCATTTTCCTGATTCTGTATTGGTTCACAGTTCAGAGGCCTGTTTAAATATATTTATGTTACTCTGATTTGCTAAGCCATTAAAAATCAAGCTGCAGGAGGACGGGAACACACAGGGCACAAAAAGACAGAAAACCCGGGCATGGTGGTTAGCACTGTGCCTCACAGAGTATGTAGCCAGCATCTGGCCAGGGCCTTTCTGTGTCAGGTATGCACACTCTCTCCACATCTGGGTGAGTACTCAAGTACTCCAGCTTCCTCCTAAAGACATGCAGTTCCTGTGGCTGAAGCATTCTCCAAATGCTTCAGCATTTAGTGAATTTTCACAATAAATAAGGGTGTCAAAAAGAACTAGTTAAATGTTTTAAACAGAATAAAAATAGGATTTATTGCCCTACCACATTTCCAGTATCTCTAAATAGCCTTTTTAGTTGAAATTAGACTTGCAAGTTGCAACATTCTAGCCCAGAGAAAAAGGGCTGTTTCCTCACTGGGATAATCCTCGTCTTATTGAGTGTACTGGCTTGTGGCATTTGAGGCTGCTTAGAAGGACAGGATGACATTGCATGATCACCCCTGCGATTTTACAGCCTACATAGGGGAGATCGAGGCAGGGGTTAAACTGGTGCTCACACAAATTAAGAAAGTAGCTCTGTTTGTTTATTTAGGGTCATGGATGATGATCCATCCATCCATCCATTTTCTTCCACTTATCCGGTGCTGGATGGCGGGGGCAGCGGCCTAACTAGAGAAGACCAGACCTCCCTCTCCCCAGCCACCTCCTTCAGCCTGTTTAGGGGAACACCAAATGTTCCCAGGCCAGCAGAGAGATATAATCTCTCCAGCGTGTCCTGGGTCTGCCCCGGGGACTCCTCCCGGTCCGACATGCCTGGAACACCTCAGCCAGGAGGCGCCCGGGAGGCATCCAAGTCAGATGCCCGAGCCACCTCAGCTGGCTCCTTTCGCTGTGGAGGAGCAGCGACTCTACTCCCATCACTCGCCAACAAGACCCCGAGATACTCAAACTCCTCCACTCCAGGGCAGGAATTCCTCCCTGACCCGGAGTGGGCACTCCACCCTTTTCTGGTGGAGGACCATGGCCTCAGATTTGGAGGCGCTGATTTTCATTCCTGCTGCTTCACACTCGGCTGCGAACTGCTCCAGTGTGAGCTGGAGGCCATCGCCCGATGAAGCCAACAGAACCACATCATCTGCAACAAGCATGATGGGTGATGATGTCTCCATAAATCTTACCTGACGATATTACCCTATTTTTATGCATTAGTACTGCTTCACATTCAGTTTTCAATTCAGTTCAATTTTCTTTACATAGCACCAAATCACAACAATCAGATAACTCCCATAGGGCAACTATTTGGTGACAGTGGGAAGGAAAAACTCCCTTTTAACAGGACAAAACCTGCACCAGAACCAGGCTCAGAGAGGGGCGGGGCCATCTGCTGTGACCGGGTGGAGGTGAGGGGAGGATAAAAAGGATAAAAGACACACTGTGGAAGAGAGCCAGAGGTTATAACTAATGATTAAATGCTGAGTGGTGCATAAACACAGTGAGTGAATAAGGAACATAGTAGACTGCTGCAGCATAACTAAGGGAGGACTCAGGGTCACCTGCTGCTCTGACTATAGCTCTGTAGGAAAAGGTCCGTTTTAAGCCCAGTGTTAAAAGTAGAGAGAGTGTCTGTCTCCCACTCTACTCTTAAATATCACGGGAACCACAAGTAAACCAGCAGAGAGCGAAGTACTTGACTTTATAAGTACTTGAAGACATGACAGGTCATTGACACTGAATATATTGTTTTTTGCAAACTTAACTTTGATGAGGTGGTTAAAATATACATGTGGGGTTTTTTAGCGGGGAGATCTAGTAATCTCTGTTAATATTTTTCCTGACTTTTCTCACCTGAAGTAGGTGTTTTAGTGAACAGGATACAGAAAAACATAAAGTGAGTGGGAAAGACAAAGAGCAGCAAAGAGCCTGGGGTCAGATTCAAAGCTGGGCCGGTGCACCTGTCCTTTGGTAACGGGGTCACCTGCTCAGCCCTGCAGACCCCAGGCAAACTTACAA